CCTCTTCCAGATGTTGACCCCTTATATATTAATAAAGTTAAAAAAAAATATGAATAAAATGAATAATTATGTATGCATTTTATTTGCTAGTTAATTAACATAAAAAAAAGTTCAGTAGAGCACCAGTTATTTATACTAATTGAGATCAATTTTATATGATTTTATTAAAATAAAATTAGTTAAATTACATATTAACATACTAAATATTCCACTTGTCTTTAAGAATAGCCTAAATTGTATCATATCACACATTTTTTTTAAACAATAAATGTGCATGCTTTATATCAATCAATAATTCGATTTTAGTTGATAAGAGAGAAAGGCAAGAAAATCATTCAGAATTCAAAAACACTAATTGTAAGGGAGTTATTGATTTATTGTATTTTATATTAATACTTGAATATTATATATATAGTATATAGTATATAAACTAAGGACACTAAGGGCATTCCAAGATATGATTTTTTTTTTCTTCATCTACCATAAACACAGTAATGTGGAATTAGATCTATATATTTACTTCCATATGATTAATTAATATAATATTGATTTTAAAAACTTATTGGAATCTGCCCCTTACAATCTAATTTTCTGCTTTTTTACTTAATACCAACACCAATACTTAATATCATAATAGTAAACTTAACATATCAGAAAATTAAACTTAGTTTATTTGTATGTTTCTAATTGATGTGGTTCAATTTTTTAAAACTTTGGAAGCCAAAATAAAAATAGTGGGAAAGACAATTAAAAAAAGACTTTATGATGAACTAAAATCATTAGGGCATGAATTAATTAGATCGATATGTGGGAAATAGATAATTATAAATTTTTAAGTTATCCATATGATAGAGGCAGACAATTATGATGTATAGAAAATATGAAAAATAAAAATTGTTGACTAGTTTACAGGTGGCATCCATACAATATAAGTTATAAACGATTAATTTTTGTTATATCTAGAATTAACCAAATAAACATAAATATTAAGATAAGAAAAATAATTGCAAATGTACTATACACTAAAAATATGCTTGAAGATAAACCATGTTGAGTATACCACTCACTCCAGCTAATTTAATAATTTTATAATTGAAATACAATTAATCTAACATCTACTTACTACAGGAAAATGTAATTCATTAAATCTAAAAATTGCATAATATACACACAATTTACATATATTACATAAATACATAAAATAAAAGCCTATGTGATGATTTAATGTACAGAGGAATATTTTTAATTCTTTGATATTTTCCACCATTATTTTTCTTAAAATGTGTACTATTTTAACTTTTTTTTTTCTTATTACTAATTTTAAGGAAATTTGTTTGTCATAAATAATATCCAAGAACTAATTTTTTATTATAAATCACATATTATATTCGAACTAAGGAGGTTGAAACAGGGAAGAGTAAAGAGTGTTTGCCCAACTACGAAACCAATATAGTTAATACAAGAAGAGAATTACAAAATTAATTTCATAATTACATGGAACACTCGACTGTATAAATAATAGCTACTCTACTGTATTATATAATATACAATGCAATTTTTATTATTATGTAATAGTCAATATCTTGGTAATTATTAGGAGTTTTAAAATAATTTACTTCTAAACTTTCTAGGTTTTACTGTTATATATTGTGTTAAAATTTTGATGTTTTTAACTGCCTCCCTTATTTGATAAAACACTATCACATTTTGATTTTCAAATAGCAACATCTATTTTTAATAATGAAAATTTATAAACTTATTGAAAAAAATAATTTTAATATTTACAGTATTTAATTTAAGTAATTTTTTTGAGACTTATTAAACATATAAATATTCATTCAATTTCTGTTTATAAGCAATTTATCAAACCCAACAATAAAAATTAAATTTTATCTAAATTGAATAGTAAAATTAATATTCAAGCAGTAAGAGTGATTATGAATATGAATGTTGAATGGAAAATAGAAAGAGAAAAACTAAAAAGAGATGATTGGATACAATTGAGAATGATATGAGGGCTGTTGATGTTTGTGTAGGGGATGCAGAAAATCAAGATGAGTGGAGGTTTAAGACAAAGGTGACCAACCCCAAATAGTTGGGAGAAAACATTTATAAGTTTAATTACAGAATACATTTTTAAGTAAATACTAAATAATGAATATTATTTTAAATATAAAACTAATTATTTCAATACAAATTTTTTAGTAATGTTTTTATGTTGTATTTAAGTTAACAATTTAATTAAAAATATACATAAGCACTTCTATCTAATGAGCATTATTATGTATAGGAGTTAGATTTTATACATTGCCAAAAACTGTATTTTTAATTAATTGTATTTGTATAATTTTTAAGTTTAATCTAAAATTAATAAATTGGAATATTATTGATAAATAATAATCGTGGTTAAAATATTTTAATTTTATGTCAGTGGCAATTATTAGAATTAGTATAATAAATTAAAAATAACAGTCAACTCTATGACTTAACAGCTCAATTTGACCAATAATTAATGAAAATTTATATTGTTTGCTATTGGTACATATCTGACAACTTTACAAATTAATATGAAATAAAATAAACATATTTCTATATTATATTTAAATTTTTAAATAAACAGAATCAATTTAGTATAAACATTTTTTATATAAAATAATATAAATAATTATAATTTTTTTTTTTTTTTTTAATTGCATTCTGATAAAAAAAAATGTGCAATCATGTGTAATTTCCTCCACACAAGTTGCTCATTACCAACGATTTCCGACTTGTTGATCGGGCGCATACTAATTTTGTGGTTTTGAGTGGGGGATGTGTGGCGGTGACCAGTTTTGGTCAGAGGAAAGTTTCGTTCATTTAATTTTTATTAATTTATCTAGGGTGGTGAAGAAAATTTTAAGTGTTATTATTTTTTATTAGTTATACCTTACTTAAATCTTGCAAACATTTGCATAACAAAATTTGTTTATAATCTAGTAAAAAATTATTGATAACCAATGTGTTCATTGCCTTTGATAATTTAATACTAAATTACTGTTTATAATTTGGAAGTTTATCAACACATAATAGTTTTGAAATAAAATGCATAAATCATACATTATACAAAAATTATATATCAGAATAAAATATGTAATTATCAATAGAAAGTCGGTTAAGCACAATGAACAAAGAAATCTGAGAGTATAGCCCCTCAGATTGATAAGATAAGGCTCAGTTCCCCAAAGTACTTGTTAAAAAAATTAAAATATAAGTCTGATAAAGGTTATTTGCCTGAGAGCTATCCTAATTCTTTTATTCTTGTTATTTATTTGTGTAATCAAAATAAATTATCTATTTTACCTTTTTTTTTTTAGTATACATAGATTGAATTGTAATTATTTATTTTTTATGAAAAGAATGAGAGAGACATCATAACAATTAAAACAAGAATAATTAAAGCGTTTTCATATTATGATTACATTTATATTCCATTTTGTTCTTTTAGGGCTCATATAATTCTGATTAATAGTCTCCTATTATTTTCCTTAAGTATGGTTTAAATCAGTTCAATAATATGTTTGATACTATTTTATAAGATGTGTTTTATATATATATATAAATGATGATAAATGATAACAAAAATGTTAATTAAAATTATTGTTAAAATGATAATAGATGTTTTATATATATTATTTATATAGTAGAAATTCCTTAGAGTTCAGTAAAAAAAATTGCGAAAAAAATTAAATAAATATTATCCAGATAAAAAAAATAATGTTCAGAATTGTTGTGAAAATTTTAATGTTAATAAATCACAAACAGATTATTCAATTTAATACTATAAACATTAAATTTTTTTTCAATATATTCATAGATTTTTTTTTATTGAAAATAGCTGTTGCCATTTGATAATCAAAACATGATAGTATTTTATCAAATGAGGGTCAAAATTATCAAAATTATAACACATTGTAAAACAGTAAAACCTGGAAAGTTTAAATATAATTATTTTGAAATTCCTTATACTTATCATTATTGACTGGTTTATAACAAAAAAAATTAACCTGTATAAAATATATTTGGAACAAAAATTTTTAAAGTCAGAAAATGTAATCAATAATTTTAATTATTTATGTATTTATGTATCACCTTTGTACTACGACGACCACTAGTACTTTCATTATTAGTACTGTTACGGCCAGGTTTTCCAATTTTTCGTCTCTTTCGTTTAGTATAACTTTCTTCGTAATCATAATCAGAATCTGCATCTGGTTCTTCAAATCCTTCTATTTCTTGCATTTCAAATTCATCATAATACCATTCCTGAAACAAAAATAATTAATATACTACACCATACTTGTATATTATACCAAGTTAAATAATAATTATTTATGTTTATAGTTAATAATTAATTTTTTTTACTTTTAACTATGAATAAATATAAATAAAAATTGGAATAAAAATAAAAATTTTCAGGTATTTCCTTTCAATACATTCATGATAAAAACTATTTGATTCCTTAGTATTTTTATTCATCTTGATCAAGCCTATAAATTAAATTTGTTACCTACATCATCATTATTAAATACTAAGTAATTACTATTTGATCATGAGTATTTATAAAATAATATCAATGTAAAACTTAGTTAATAGGTTAGTACTCACAGGGATGGTTAAGATACTTGAAAAATGTATCTAGATACAAGACACTATTTTTTTTAAAAAAAATTACTATTTAAGTATTAAAATAATTGTATTTCAATAATGTTTATTTTCAATAAAATAAAAAAACAAACATTATGAGGTGCAGTGATAATAATAATAATAATGGTTCGGCCTATTATCTTTTTAAATTATTACTTTATTTTAAAAGTAAAAAATTATTTTGAAAAAATATTAAATTTTGGAACATTTTATCACATAACCTAGAACATGTTGTGTATAAAGCTAGCACAAGAAAACATTCTTTCTATTAGTGCTGAAGAACACAAAATTGTATAGTACCGAATAAATAATTTTTCCTAATTTAGCTTTAAAAACGTCTCTAGTTCTTTAAACTTAATTTAGTGCTTACATTAATCAACCAAGTAAATTACATTATATAAATTTAAAATTTTATTTTATTTTTTCTTAGAAAATAATTTATTTTCATCTGTATCCTTACATACATAAAGAAAATGAAAAAAAATACAAGATACAACACACAAATGTTAAGATACAAGGTACAAAATAAAAATGTATCCAAGATACTGCCGATCCCTGGGTACTCACAGATACTTTAGTATTGGAGCTATTTTGGTTGGTTTGATCATCTTTGGATACTATAGTGTTTGTTCCAAGGCTATCTTTACTATCTTCATTATTTGAAATAGCATTTTGGCTGTCTCCAGTATTCAAATCAATATTAAAAGAATTAGTTCCATCACCTGAATCACCTCCACTTGTTAATCCTTTAAGAAATGAATTTAAGAATTATGTCAATGATTACATGAGTAGGCTAAATCAAAAGTCACAAGTTCCAAAAATCACCTTTTTCAGAAAACAACAAGGAAAGGTACCGTAACATTAAATAAAACTAAAATACATGATTATTGTATAATTTATGTCGAAAAAACACAATTCTTTCATAAAAAATGATTTTTGTTGTTTAAATATATTTTTTTTTGAGTTAAGTTTCAAGTTCTGAAATAAGTGATTTCTGAAACATGTGAATTTTGACTTTAGCCTACTCACATTTAATTTTAATTATAATAGACTTACCAGATTCCTTACGTCTTGTTGAATTAAATAATGAAGAGTTTACTGAACTGTTATTACAAGTATTTAACAAATATTGTCTCCTCTTTTTCTTCCATCTTTTGGAAGGATATGTATAAACTTGTCCATTATTTAGACCAGGCATACGTTGTCTTTCATGCATTAAGAGACTTGAATGGGTTTGGGCTACACCTGAAAATATTTAAATATAAATTCAAGATAAATCAATAACAATGCAATAGTATTGCAGAATAAAAAAATATTTTTAATAAATGATACCTGTTTGTGTATCCAAAAAAGGCATTCTTAATCGTCGCTCTATACATAATCTTGTATTATAATTTACAGAATTTTCAACAGCTTCTCGGTAGGATAGATCATTGATAAAACTAAAATAAAAAAATATAACATTAATAGGAAGTTGAGATTTTAAACTTTTTTTTATTATTACTACAATGGTAAATTTGATGATATCTATATATTACAATTATTACAGGTTTCTATGTAATATATATTTTGGATAAAAAAACAAACATGACAAATATATATTATATAATGGTAATTTAGGGAATGATGTACGGATAGAATACAAAAGTCTTTCAACTGCCAAGTAAAATCTCAATCAACAATTACTATTTTTATGGGGAATGATTCCCAACTCCAATGCCAAAATGACGCCAATAAAACTATATTTGAGTTGAATTCAACACTTAATCAAAACTCTGGAATTTATGATTTGAATGAAAGTATTAAAAAGTTTACCCAAATATAAATTAACAAAAAACATCAACTTCTACTATTTGAGAAAGAGATTGTTTTTTTGGAACATAAAATGGTAGAATAATTTAGTAATACTTAAAAATATGAGAAATATTTTCATAAGAATGACTATGTACTGGTTTATACATTATAGATTAATCAAATAGTATTGTATATATCAGAAATTATCTCAAATGTAAACATATCCATCAAATAGTAACTACCAAAGTAGTTATGCTGTTTTTATTAAAGAGTAGTTAAAATGTAAGCAAAATAGGTAACGATAGCATTCTATATACCGTGATCGAATTATGTATTATAGTATGTTCAACAAGAGAACATGCCTGTTTTGTGCATGTAGAATAATGATCGAACTGTCACCAAGATCTCATTTTCCACTCTTAGCTACCAAATCGTTCTGAATACAACTAATCAGTAAACAACCACTTGATTATATTATTAGGTCAATAATAAATTATTGATAGTCATTATCAAAATGGTTTCAATGGGGAGATGTATAGCTAGAAACGGACAGGGAATGTGCATAAATGAACTAATTTTGGTCGCGCAGCTATGTCACTGGACAAAGTATAGTAAGAATATCTATTTAATCAAAAGCAACTGAAACCATGAAGGTTAATTTCTTCGCTTGAATCCATCGGACTACGTGGAAAAACATAACAAAAAAAAAAAAAAAATGGGAATAAGAGGGAAGATGGCGGAGGGTTAAAGTGTTAAATACTTACCAGGAGACGCTCTTGACGAAATTGGGTTTGATATCGGGGATTGCCATGGTTCGGTGCACTGGCTACAACCGCGCTCGGCGACGGTCGGCAGAAACTCGCGTAGAGCGACGTGATGACGGCAATAACAGTAATGGCCGCGGGACGACGAATTTAATAATTGACGATCCGTGTGTTGTTATGCATACGTTAACTACATGAGAGGACGCGGAATGGCAGCGAGACCAACAATAGACGAGGAGGACAAAAAGAATCGACACAAACACGCACACAAACACACATACACACACGCGCGCGCGCCCACACACACAATTGATATGGAGTGTAAAACGTTACACGGGAACCAGTAGACGCGAACGAACGGAAAACGGGACGACGGGCCGACGGCGGCCGGATGCGCAGCGCGCGGACACAGTGAACATTGGACGGTCCGGTGGTGCCGGATGGAGAGCGACGGTGACGCGCGGCCCGAGTGGTTCGGTGAACGAAAAGTCGATGGGGACGGCGGCGACGCGTCCGCAAACACCGTCGTCGTGCACGAAACGTTTTCCTAGCGCGTCCGCGTCTACGGTTCGGGCGCCGATCGATCGGCGGCGGGGATTGACCGGTGTACCAACCTGACGACAACGGGACGTTCACCGTCAACGGGGACGGCGGGCGTCCTCCAACCAACTCCGAACGGTTTCCTCACGCACACCTCCACGCGCGAAGCTGCTGTAAACTCCTCGAACGTTGCTGCGTGTCAGCGCGCTTAGGTACGTAGCTACACGTACAACGTTTCGTTTAACATCGCCGCCGATGTTCTCAACAGCGCCTACGTTGCGCACGAACATTATTTGAACGGAACGTGCGCTCGTTAACTACACCGGTGGCCACAATCGAATTGTTTTCATAATCCAGTTATGCGTGTCTAATCGAAATATTCTCATAATATCACTGGAAATATTCAATTTATGTAGTATTTGTTGTTACTCGAATAGGTTTATATTATTATAATCGAGATATCAATGGAAATATTCACGCGGAATTTTTAATTCATGTAATGACTCGGAATAATATTAGTTATTAGTCGGGCAGAAGGCTTGTAGCACTTACATATTTGTTTCGCGCAATCACAAAAATAACAGAATACGAAACAAATTCGTAACATACTCGTTTCACAAAGCTAGTCTTGAAATTTTATTTTACATAATAACGCACATTTCGAGTTCTTTTGTTTTAATGGCGTATTATTTATTCCATTTTATACTTTTAGATTTTTATTTCAAATAATTTATCATTTCATCAATACTTTTCTGCCGACGTTCTTGTTTTATCTTATATACGACCAAAATATTGTCGGATTACAAATAATTTTAAATTTTATTATTATAATATGCAGACTTGGGTAGTATTCAGAATATTTTTTAAGCATTTCGAATACTTTTTAAAAACTTTTTTTGAAAGTATTCAACAAAGTATTTTGAATACTTTTAACGAGTATTCTGAATACTGTATTTCGAATACCGTTAAATCATCTCTTTTTTAAATGATATTATTAATTCTCTGTCGTATCTTGTATAAGCTAATATCAGGTATTTATTATTGTTGTACAGTGGCGTATTTGGGGGGGGGGGCGATGAGGGCAATCGCTCCCCTCTCCGAGAATGTTTAGACCAAGACAATTTTTATATAAGTAATGAGTATTTTATTAAGAAACAAAAATTATGATTTAATTTATAGTATTACTACATTTGAAAACGTTTCAAATTTTACACTAATTTAAATAACGCAAAACGCTAAATTTTTCATTAAGTTTTAACTGGCAATAACGGTAAACGGAAATTTTTTTAAACGTTTAAATTTGTATAACGTTTAAACGCTTAAATTGAATAACGTTTAAATTATTAATAGCGTTAAACGCTCAATAGCTTATAACGTTTATATGTCCCATAACGATAAATAATATATATTATTTTGATTGAATATTCAGTCCATACTTAGTGAAAAATTAGATAAAACACAAGCGAAACTTTCAAAACACAGATAAGTGTTAAAAAAGAACTACACAAAAGACCATTCTAAGTAGATCCGGCAATAGATTAAAAAAAAAAAAAACCACAAATATTAAAGATTCACCAGATATAAATATTACTAAAAATTTTACTTGTAAATTTTGAGCCTGAATTAAGGAAAAAATTTGAGTCCCCCCCCCAGAAGTAAGTTTAAATACGCCCCTGTTGTTGTAAACTATAAACTATAACAGTTATGTAAAATAAAAATTCAATAAAATAACATATACCTATTTAGTCTACAATTTCAAATATTTCTGTTGAGTGGACATTTATTATTTTTATAAAATGAAAACTAGAAGTATTTTAAAAGTATTCTGAATACTTTTGAAGTATTCTAAATAATGTATTTGGAGTACAATTTGTATAATGTATTTGAATATATATTCGGAATACTATTTTTTGTAAGTATTCGAATATTTATTCTAAATACTTTTAAAAAGTATTTTACCCAAATCCATATTATTAATATGGTTGTTGACTTTTCGCAGACGCATGTTTTTCCTAGTTAATACATATTCGGGATCGGTGATTAATTTTATTTATAAACATTAAACACGTAAATTAAATCATATATTTTCCGATAGGACGATTCCATAAACGATATCAAAAAATTTCATCGCACTGACTTGTGTTCGTAAATAATTTAATATTATGGTAATTTATTTTTAGTTTTCCTGTCTGCATGCCTGCGTCTATTAGTAATTCATGTCAACTTTTTATCTTCGTGCACTGTTTTAACATTAAAATGTCTAATGATAAGGAGTCATTTAAGGCCTCTTTCACACGAAGCCACCATAGCAGCGCTACCATGGTCGTGCCACCAAAAGATATTAATAATTAAATTGAGGGTTTTACATTTGGTAGCGCCACAGAGTTGACCGCGCCGTTCTAATATTTTCGAGCAACCAGACATGCTTAACGCACGACCAAAATAGTCGCAACACCATTTAAATTATACTGTTTTTAATTTAAAAACGCGTAATCTCTTCATTCGATCAACTGCCAGTGTCGCGTTTGTAGGTGATTACTGACATTTTCAAATTTTTTTTATCATGAATAACTTTGACACAGAAAAGTTCATTATAGAAATTGAAAATCTAATGAAATTAATTGAATTAATTAATTGAAAAAATTAATGTTACGACTAATTTTTCGACAAGTGAAATACATTCCCTCATATTTGTTTATTGACCCATAAAATCTTTTTGAAGCAGTTCCAGTAAACTTTTTGTAGAACGGTCAGATAATAATGGGTATATCCAAAACTTCCTTTTTTTTCCGTTTATGTGTTACTTTATTGCACAAATATGCTACATATGCCAGCTCTTCGACTTCCATTTCGATACTGAACTGAATTTAAATTTTACGATTATAATGACGAATAAAAACTATTGTAAGCGAGTCTGGAAGCATAAATAATGGCGATACTTTTTTGGTGGTGTTGCTATGGTGGTTTCGTATAAAAGAGGCCTAACAGTCGGTTAAAGAGTTATTTAAGAGATATAATTTACAAGCCCTAAAGTATTTATCATTTACTTAAATTAATTTATCAAGTCATAGTAAAAACATGTATTATTATATTATTATAGATATTTTATAAATAATATCTATGCATCACTTTGATATTATCTCGTCAGTACACGAAACGTTTATTTACAGTATGGTATGTTCTTGATAACGAAGTATTATGTAACATTAATAATCAAATCAGTGTTTTCAGTACTATAACTATTATATTTTATGATTCCAACGAACAGCTTCATGGTTTATCTGTACATTACGAAAGCAATGGTATACCGATAAAGCAACAATAGTATAACAATATTAATTATATATTACGCCATACTATCTAATCGGTATACGTGATCCCTAAGCCCATTTCACACGTAGGTACCCGACTACTGTTTAAACGGCATCCAGTTTCATAATGTAGTTCCACACCCATAAGCTACCTATAGTATTTATTTAGTCGCTGTTAGTAAATTTAGCCAGATGAGTGTTAGATTAATTCAAGTGATTAACTACGGAACGTGAACAAGTCGTAGTATTATTTTTATTGTATCGATGTCTAAAAAAAAAAGAAGGGCAAAAAGACTTGAATGAGTTCATCCAATTAACCAAAAATGGAACAAGTGCAAACAGTGGCGGATTACACATTTTTTCGCCACGGGGCAGTTTTTTTTGACGCCCCCCCATTACTCAATTAGTATATATAAAATAAAATATTTCAACTTTAAATGGACAGATCGTCAAACTTTTGACTGCAATTGTGACCTATAAGGATAGTTTTTCTTAAAAAGGTTTTCAAAATACGACTGTCAGTAACTAATAATAAACAATAGAAATATTATACATAATACATTAAACATTTATAAATTTATGTATACATATATATTTTATTAAAACCTTGTACTAGATACATTTTTTTTCTGGCTTTTGTTGAAGCAAACTTGTCAATTATTTCATAAAATTTGATGGTTTTTACGAGCTCTGCTTTAATATGTAATATGGCGTAAGCATTTAGCAACTCTTTATTTAATTTAGATCTTAAATAGTTTTTAATGCGTTTTAACGCAGAAAATGACCTCTCTGTAGAACAGTTACTTGCTGGAATACTTAAAAACATTCTGGTTGCAATTTCTATGTATGGAAAAACCTTTTTAATTTTATTTTCAATAATAAATTGTTGCATTTCAAGTATAGTCATGGGTTCAGTTTTTGATTTTGATATTAAATAGCTTTTAAAATGGAGACATTCATTTGCAAAAAAAACTAGGTAGGACATTTGTATACTTTTTATGCAGATAATTAGCACAATTTGTTAGTTCAACAGAATTTGATTTAATTAAGTTAAACAAAAACCCAAAATTATTATTTATTTCATCGTATGCAATATTTCTTCTTTTTAATTCAGATATTAAGCGATCAACAATTTCTATATAAGTATTTACTCGAAATTTAGTTTTGGAATCTTGAACTATTTCATTTTTGCTTGTTTCATCATGAGCAAGTTTTCTTTTCTTTTTTCTACTTTCATCATACTCTTTAACATTTGATAATAATAATGATTTTTTTTCATATTGTTCAAACATATTTGTACTTCTCAATCAGTGACATAGATACAATTTTTTTCTGGGAGGATGTTCAAGAGTTAGTTTTTAAGTATTCTTAGTATATCTTAAAACGAGGTTATATGTAATAATATTACATTTAAAATGGTATTATTATTATGTCCCGTATTTAATGAAAATTATTTTGTTACTAAATTTTTAATATATACCTAATCATAGTAAAATCAAAATATTTTACTATTATATGTAAATATTAATAAATAATAATTATATATCATTAAAAAACTCTGGGGGGGTGGAAACTCCTTACACCCTCCTCGTAACTACGCCACTGTTCTCAATTGTTTGACATTATTAATCAACGAACTATATAAATTTGACACGGGCATTAAATCTATTGAAATGGATTGAAGTTTCTTGTTTATAAGGTTAAATCGTTCAAGTACATCACCCCAGAATAAAACTAAAATTGCAGTTTCCAAATTGATTAAATGCAGATCGTCCTTTTGCTTCATTTTTGGTTATAGCTTTTTCAGATGTAGACTCTTTAATGTTGATAAGAGATGTTATTATAGAATCCCAATTTTTTACAAGGCTGAAACACATATCATACCTAGCAGACCAACGAGTATCCAATTTTCTTTTAAGAGTGACATTTGTTAATGTGTGAGAAATTAAAGTTGCTCAACGGTTTGTAAAAGAAGAAAAAAATACATAAATATTTTGCATTAGACAAAAAAATGCTGTGGATTCTTGAGAACTATCAGCAGCACACTCACCAACCAGGTTTAAGGAGTGAGCAGAGCAAGGTCCGTATTCTGCCAATGGAGAAACTTCTATAATTCTTGCTTATAGATACCAACGTCGCGCATAATGCGCAAAATAGAAAAATTTCAATATGAGAAAAACGGTATAGACTAGGGATGGACAAAACATTAATGATTGGGGTCAATACATAAACATTTGATTTTGTTAAATCGATATTAATATAGATGTTTCTTTTATAAATTCATACGTGCCAACCACGATTTAAGATGTATAGGTTAGTCAACCTCACCTATAGTAAATGGTTTCCATAATGGTATGCGTCGTATATAACTAAACATCAGTTGTTCAGCATAATGTAATGGGCTTCCATATATCATATAGTATATTGTGCTTATATTCATGTAATAGTTGGTTACCGGTATATTTAAAATACGGGTAATGATAATGTAACATTATATTTTTTTTATAATCTAAATGCCGGTCTACATAACAAGAAACACTATGTAATAAAAATGTATGAATGAAAAAAGGTAATAAAAATAATCAGGAATACTGGGTATTAAAAATGTACTAATTACGAATAACAAGGGCAATTAAGCACTAAAACAACGAAGGCAACAGTCCACGAAACCATAAAGTCATAAACTTATTTCTGGAAATTACCAAAACAACGGGAGCAGTATCTCTATGACGTCAATGGAGCAATATAAAAGAGGGACCGAAACAACCAAAATTCAGATGAGTTCTATTCACGGATCTAAAAGCAACTTTACGTCACTCGGTATCAGAATTTTGTTAACATTTTGAATTATAGAATAAACGTATTAAATGTATTAAAACGTTAAAGTCTCATTTCTCATCAATTAAAAACAAACACATCTTCGACTGCACAATTTGAAATCAGCTCGGTGTCACAAAACAGTTGTGAGGTTGACCGACAGCATTGTCGGTGCTAATAGTTTTAAACAATATATTTTTAAAAGTTGATAATATAAAACAATAATATGGCTGAATAATAATCATGAAGAAGAGGTATATTTAATCTTTAAGATAATAATATTATCATAAAATAAAGTATTTAACTACATTAATGATAGCATGGTTAGGCATATCCATCATTTCAATAACCATATCGATACATTCGTACACGAATCAGCTACACGGTGTATGAGTATCAGAGTTAAGAATTAAAAACTCATTTTTTTTTTTTAAATTTTTTTCCCCACATATTTTATAAGTTAAATTAACATATATACGTACATATTTCTGTATTTTTATATACATAAAATCCGCTTCCTATTTATTACGTATTAGTTTTAATAATATATCATATTAATTTTATACTACTACTCGATTTTCTTCACTGGCAGTGTTTACATGTATTCAATTTTACGTGATTTTTTTTAGTTGCGAAGTTTACATGAACCAATTCCATATAATTAACGATCATATAACAAAAATTAAATTCTGAGATTCTATTTTAGAAATATTCGTCACTTGACAATTTGAGATAAGACAATAGTACGTGTATTAATAGATTGAAAACTAGGAATTCCAAATACGGATATCGAACGCATATTTGATAAACACAACTACATATAGGGGCCAAAAAATTTTGGCCCCCTTTTAGAAATATGTTTGGTTACGTGTCTACCCCTAGGCACGGCCCTGTATGCAGGTACTTAGGTTTAGGAATTTTCCTTTTATAATAATTTTTTTACAACTGATCTCCCTCTCCATACAAAAGATACATATACGCCACTGTAATTACATTGAACATATGTATGTGTAGTATACTATAATACTCGATACTTCTAATTGTATGAGGAGTAAAATATTGAGCATACATCTTGTTATTGCTGATATTATCTATGATACACTCTGTGTGCATGGAGTATAATTATTTATTTTTCATTTTTATTTTTTATTTATTCTTTTACATTCATGGTAGATATTTTGGAATTTCAGTAATATGAAGCAGCTGATTACTTTATCATTGTTTATCACAGGCTACATAGTGTTGTCACTACGTGTTATCAATATATGTATGATTTGCCGTATAAAATTAAAATTGTTTTTAAACTTTTAAATATTTTTAATAATCAATATTTATTCTGTTATTGATGTTTACCATACTCTGATCGTTGATTGCAATCTCAATTCGTTGATTATTAACTTAATAGTTTCGTGAAAATCGAAAACGTATTTAAATCTTCGCAATGGCTATTCACAGGAAAGATTTTATGCTTTTATTAAAACCTTACTACTGGGTTAACATTATTCTTACTTTTTCGTATGTTTTTTGTAAAAAAACAAACTTTATATGTCAATACATTTTTGCACCAACTGAGAAAACTTGCGAATTAGATGTTGTAAGTAACATTTTCGTTAAATAATTAAATATTGATTGCATTTTGTAAATTGTTTTTTCATATCATTCACTTCACTTATTGTTTGCAGAAAGAATTAGAAATATTACTTTTTCTGATGATTGTTGTTATGATACGTACAAGAAAAGCTGGTAGTGTTACTATGTTAGCTTATTTGTCATCCAGTTTCTTGTATACGAAAGGTGCAAATTTGTTATTATGGTTCTATGCAGATGTTCGTTTTGGATTATTATTCACCGCTCTTGTTATTGGTAAGTTTATTCAGTTATTCATTATTTTATTTTCAAAGATTAATTAAATACTATTAGAAATCTATCTTAGTTTATTTTCAAATAAATTACACTAAAATCAAATAATTTTTAGTATATTTATATCTAATATATTTTTATAATTTATGCAGTATGATTTATAAGTTTAATGAATTTAAAGTAATAATAAATTATTTTTGCAATTATGTTATTTGTTAGTTATAATAATTATCAACAAAGATTATCTGATTAATTTCAACAAATTATAAATTATTATTTTAAAGATGAAAAAATTGATAGATATGAGCATTACATAGATTACTTAATTATTTACATAAAACAAATTTATTTTATAAAAACTCAACTTTTTCAAAATTTATTGGTAACAGTCTTAGTCTTAATATTTAAAATTCAATTTTGATTTGGTAAATAATTATATAATTAAATCATAATACACTTCTTATATTTATCTTAAGATAAGTCATACCCGCATGTGTTGTCTCCGTCTGACATACGTACAACATAGCAAATTTGTGTTCAGTGATTCAAATGTAGTGAAGTTAGCTTTAATATTAGAGTAAACTGACTTATAATCAAACTTTAAGGGAAGAATATTATCTGTGTTTTGTTGTTCGGTTTTTTTCCGATATTTTATTTATTAGCATGTTATGAATATGTAAAATATAAAAATTAAAAAAACATCATATTTCAGTACATAATTAAATTATCGGAAATAAATTATCAACAAAACACAGACAATTTTCTTCCATTAAAGTTTGAATATAGGTCAGGTTACTCTAATATTAAAGCCAACATTACTACATTTGAATCAATGAATGCAAATTTGCTATGTTGTATGTATGGCAGGTGGAGACACACATGAGGGTGTGATGTCCTCTTAAATTATTATTATATTGTTTTATATTGATTATTTAACGTACTAATTTTGGTTGTGAAGTACAAAATGAAACATAAATAAATCATAAATAATATATACTTCATAGGTATATTATAGGTATACCAACTGCATCTTTTTACATAATAGTAAAAACCTTTTATAATTACATCAATTACATTCACTTATTAAAAAAATTATTGTTTTATTTATAGTTATAAGCTTATTGATACCAGAACCAACATATTCAGGCCCAGAAAATGTGTTGTACTTTAGATCATTAGCAACACTGGAAGAAGCTTTAAAAGAAAACAAGCAGCACACAGTATGGCTTGTGTGTTTTTATACTGTTTGGAATCCTATGTGTTCTAACTTTGCTCCTATATTTTCACAATTATCTGTCGAGTATATATCAAATTTAATAAAAAACAAAATATATTAGCTTTATATACATTGTGTAGTACATTTATGTACTATTGACTAAATTTTATAATGTTTAAATATTTTGTATGCATTTTAGATATGAAACAAAATATCTTAAATTTGGTAAAATAGATGTAAGCCGATATCCTGATGCTGCTAAGAAGTATAATATTAGTGATGCATCTTTAAGTCGACAGTTACCAACTGTAATTATGTTTCAAAATGGAGTTGAAGTATTTAGAAGACCAACATATGACAGCAAAGGAAAAGTTTATAAGTTTTTTTTCACAGAAGTATGCATTTTTTTTTTTTTTAAGTACATTTAATTGAAAATTAAATAAAAATATTTTATATTGTAGCCTAATTTCAAAGCAGCTTTTGATTTGAACAATGTGTATAATCAATGCAAATTGTCAGAAAAGAAAAGAAATTGTGATCAAGGAGAAAAATCTAAAACACAAAAAAAAGATAAGAATGCGTAAATCACTTTTTGGAGAGAAAGGAATTCTAAAATATTAGTTTTTTGTGTTTGTGTTATGGTTTTATTATCAGTATTGTATGGATGACACTAATGTTAATCTAAGATATGTGAATGAACACATTTTTTTTCAACTACACTTTTTATATGTAAAAGTTATGTATTGAATGTTGTGAGCTGTAATTTTTGAAGCATTTTTTTAATGCAGTCTAAATCTGTATAAATAGATAGCCTGCAAATTAGAATTATTGTTGTCAGGGTTAAAATAATATTCGCCTACTTATTAGTCATAAGCAGGGCTCATAATTTTTAGCACTTACATATTTTTTTTGAGAGGTCCTAGAAATACCTATGTGAGTTATAGATTTGTTTTAGATAACTAAGAAGTTTTTTTTTCTTGAAAAAAGACTTAAAAAAAGCAAAATAGCACTTATACTTTGAAATATGCAAAAATATGCAACATAAAATTTCTTATTTAAGTCTTTTTCAGTTCTGTAGCATTTAAAACATTTTTTCTTAATAATAACAAGTAATTACAGTAGTATTAATTTTTTATATTTGTAATCAACTCATGTTAATTAACTAATTCTTCTTATTTTGGTTTAAATTATATATTTATTTGTATCATACAGTGACACAATCAGAATTCCAATAATTAAAGTTTAAATTTTTTTTTTATATATGATAGGTTTTTTTTTTAATAATAAATAAAAATTGTTTATTTTTCATATTATATTTATTTTGCATATTTTTGTATTTTTAGTGTATATTCAAGCGCTTATATGAATATTTTTAAGAGCATATTATTGAGCTTATAACTACTTTTTTTTAGTGCTATAAGTTATGAGCCCTGGTCATAAGCATTTAATACATTTAAATTATACTAAAAATTAAGTAATAAAAATCTTATTTTAAAATTGATTTATTTTCAACAAACATATTTAAAAGACTTAGAAGATTTTATTTTACTTTTACTTTTACTTTGTGTAAAAGCTATCAAGATTTAAAATCAGTAATTTGAATATTTGAACTTTTTTTTATAAAACAAAAAATTATAAACATTTTAAATAAAAAATATATCTAGTATTCATATTAATAATATTTAATAGGTAATAAAATCTCAAATAATTTGCATAAGACTACATATTATACATATATAATAATAATTATTACTATTATAATAGTTTCTACAAGATATTTATTAACTGTATTTTTTTCATTATGGATTAACAAAATAAATTATTAATATTATTTTTACTTTTTTTATTTGTAGTATATATATATATATTTAGTTTTTTCTTAGGTATATAATGCTAATTTTAATTAAATGTAATTCTTATAATATTATATCCTGTTATGAACACAAATCATTTCAATTTATATAGACATAAGATACAAATTTAAATAAAGGTAAATCTAGAAATAACAAAAATGTTCTACAGTGTCACAAAATCACCATAAATAATATTAGTACTTTATTGAACATATTATTCAGTAATGAAGTTTTCACGTCCACTACCAAAGATCTTTTTAATTGGTTTAATTTATTTTATATTACAACATAAAATAATTAGAACAGATTTGTAAAATTGTATTATTTTGACTTGTTATTAATTACTGACTAAGAATATAATTACAACTATAATTTATTAATACTTATTGTTACTTAACCTAGTTTTAAATAGATTACTTTTTACTTACATTAATTTACTTACTTTTTGTAATTTCATTAAGTTTTAATTCAAATTTAGTTTTAAAATCAGACACACACGTTTCGTTAGCCATTGCTAAAGACGAACTAATATAAGCTCACAAAAATACTAGTTCATATAGTATCAGTACAATATTTTACCATTTAGATAAGGTGTATTTTGTGTACCTTTAATATAACGAGTTGATAAAATACAATAACACCGATAAATTAACAAGATACGCGTGGTCATCTATAATCGTTATAAAATTGTATTTAATGTAAGCAAACATATTTAAGACTCTACGGTTTTGCTCTTACGATAAAATTCTGTATACTGTTTTGGTGGTTTTGCCCAAATGAGGTTGGTCATAACTAGTTTGCTCTGTCAAAAGCCGAAATATGACATTTTGCCCAAGGATTGTGGGCAGTTCGCGTTTTGTCCGGGCATTTCTGAGGTTTGCCCGATTTCGACTTTTGCCCGTAACATATATATATGTATATATAAAATATTACTTTATTTAGTACATTCAATATAATATATATAAAATAAAACAAATTTCATGATATTAATTATATCTATCTATACAAAATATAACTAAACATTTATATTCCATGCTAGATCAACTAAACATTTTATTCTTGAAGGGGTTTAATCTAATATAATAAAACTGAAGAAGGTATGGGCTATGAAGGAGTAATAATTTCTGTATTTGTCCCTTTTTAGATTTAAAACATATTTTTCTACATTTCTCAGTACAACAGTTTATTGTGAATTGAGATGACCATAGCATATTATGCCTCTTTATCATATATTTTGATTTCGTAACCGAGAATAGTTTGTATAAATATTTTAATTTATGAAAAATGCTAAATGTTAAAAGTGATTTTATAAAATGTAAGATATAGTTTAAAAAAATAATAGATCATACCAATTGATATTTTTATTAAAATCACCAACTCTTAAAATTTTAGAGTTGAACATCAAAAAAAAAAAAAAAAAACTGATGTAAAGTCTTTCAATTTTTAAAACAAAAATAACTAGCTTATTTAGAGCCTGTATGCAACTTTCAAATGATTAAATACAAAAATCATATGACAAATATGTTTTTAAAAAATAGAATGATCCAAACAACGTATTGTATAGGTAAAATAAGTATATTATTGTGATGTAGAATGATTATGTCCATTTTTTTCTCAGTTTTACTGTGAATTTTAGAATACTATAATAATGATAAAATATATTTTTTTAAGTTTATGCGTCTTGTAATCAATTTTAGTGGTCGAGATAAGTGAGTCGTTTAAATTTTTTGTCTTACATTTAATGTTTTTACATAAGAAAAAAAGTGGACATACAAATTATTTAAATATAACGTACTCCAGATAATATCATAAATTGCCAATCTTAATGCTAACAATTAAAAAGTATGCACATTACGATTCAATGCGATGATTAATTAGTTTTTATATTCATGTGTATACATCAATCACTAATGTTATGTATGACGATGGATATATTTATGATACTCGAAAATTATATAATATATAATTTGGCAGTACATGTGTTTGGTTCAATGGTAGGAATGTAGGCTCGGCGATGGTCACCTTTCTTCTTCGCCTGAGGGGGGAATCTGTACCCCTCCCCTTTTGTATACGCCCCAGTCATACCTTTTGATCCAGGATCGCGGTACGATAATAAATAAGCAAAAAACGAACACAATCTGGGTAAAGAATGATTGAACGTGTATTACGTATGTATAAAAATATAGATATTACAACAACGGATACGCGCTTTCGGTATACCGAGTATATTCGTCGATCACGATACGATGTGTCGGGACTGGTAAGTTCGTTTTAACGGTACGCAAATTTACGGGAACGACGCGGCGGTCACGCATCACCCTCGCCCTCGCCCTCCTCCATGTTGATCTCCACACCCACCTCCTCGTAGTCCTTCTCCAGGGCGGCCAGGTCCTCGCGCGCCTCCGAGAACTCGCCCTCTTCCATTCCCTCGCCCACGTACCAGTGGACGAACGCGCGCTTCGAGTACATCAGGTCGAACTTGTGGTCGAGCCGGGCCCACGCCTCAGCTATAGCTGTCGTGTTGGACAGCATGCACACGGCCCGCTGCACCTTGGCCAGGTCGCCACCCGGTACCACGGTGGGCGGCTGGTAGTTGATGCCCACCTTGAACCCGGTCGGGCACCAGTCGACGAAAACGATAGTGCGCTTCGTCTTGATAGTGGCGATCGCGGCGTTCACGTCCTTGGGCACCACATCGCCGCGGTACAGCATGCAGCACGCCATGTACTTGCCGTGCCGCGGGTCGCACTTGACCATCTGGTTGGCCGGCTCGAAGCACGCGTTCGTGATCTCGGCCACAGACAGCTGCTCGTGGTACGCTTTCTCCGCGGATATGACCGGTGCGTACGTGGCCAACGGAAAGTGGATCCGCGGGAATGGCACCAGGTTCGTCTGGAACTCGGTCAGGTCGACGTTCAGTGCGCCATCGAACCGCAGCGATGCCGTGATGGACGACACGATCTGCGCCATCAGCCGGTTCAAATTCGTGTACGTGGGCCTCTCGATGTCCAGGTTCCGACGGCATATGTCATAGATCGCCTCGTTGTCCACCATGAACGCGCAGTCCGAGTTCTCCAGCGTAGTGTGCGTGGTCAGGATAGAGTTGTACGGCTCCACAACCGCCGTGGACACCTGTTAGCGAGAGGGACGAATTTTTTTTTATTATTTCCATTTGAAATACTTTTACAGAGGTTGTGTTTATTGCAGCGCGTTTTCCAAAATTCGGTAACATCTCGATTTGTCTTAACGAGACACTATTACGGAGTATATATTTCAACGGTCGTGTTACAAAAGAATCATGAAAGGTACGTGCATGTTTTACAAACATAACGGTATTATCAAATCAGCGCCTACATATTTATACGTGCTCATTACGATGATAGGCGAATGATCTTTACGAGGCAAATATGTAAAAAAAAATCATCATTTATACTCATATACCAATTGGAATGTTTTAATTATAAACACTAGACAAACATTTAATGATTTCAATAGTATGCGCGTCGAAGAAATACTGAGACAAACGAAGTCTTTACGGAACACCTCGCGCTTGTATGAATAATGTGTCGGCGAAAATTAACGATTGTTGGTTCTTCACACTTTTAGTTTAAGCCCGTAATGGGCGCTTTCTGTGCCGTTGATAAAGCAGGGGGAGAGTATTGCCGGCACCGGTTGCACGACTTGTACACCGAACGGACTAATAATGGGTGACACCGCACTCACTTGAGGCGCCGGGTAAACGGCGAATTGCAGTTTGCTCTTTTTCCCGTAGTCCGCGGTCAGCCGTTCCATGAGTAACGAAGCGAATCCGGAACCAGTGCCGCCGCCGAACGAGTGGAATATCAGGAACCCTTGGAGTCCGGTGCACTGGTCCGCGAGCTTTCTGATCCTGTCCAGCACCAGATCGACGATCTCTTTGCCGATGGTGTAGTGGCCACGAGCGTAGTTGTTGGCCGCGTCTTCTTTGCCCGTGACCAGCTGCTCCGGATGAAATAGTTGTCTGTAAGTGCCGGTTCGCACTTCATCTGTAACAAGTAGTGCGGTGTCATTTTTGTTTCGATTTGTTTTGTGATATGGTGAAATTACATACATACAATTTAAACTAACGCATGGGGGTTGAAAATAATCCGTTTTTTACAGACAGTTAATTATATACAATAAGTAAAATC